ATTGAAAGAGACAAGAATGCTCTGTGTTGTCTTTTCCCTTCAGATCTTAAGCTGGTTTGAGACCTTTATAAGGCAGGCTGTCATCTCTGAGAACCTTTAGACTTGTGTGCTCAGGTCATGAGAAAACATTAAATCTGTCACATTCAGAGATACCAGTGACAAACCAGAGTTATTGCTAATCTCTAGTTCACCTTTCACTGCCAGATTCACCAGAACTATATCCTGAATGGAAAGTACCTCTCAAGTACCCTCTTTGGACACCGTATTTAGAAAAATAACTGTCCAAGATCATATTACCTTTTTGAGTGGAGAAATGTGGCTGCCAGCTTCAAAGAAAATCCATGTTTTCAAAGTTTTATTACATCTAGAGCAGATGGAGTTTCAAAATGTGTGTTAGTGGGGGCTGGGCAAAGTGACTTGCATTCTGCTTTGGGAAATGAGATTTTCTGCAGAAATGGTGTTATTGTGATTATCTATGATATTCTTACTCCAAAATGAGGAAGGTAATGACATATTGCTTGAAGCTAAGTTCTGAAATTAGAAATTGAAGTTGGGACAGAACCCAGATGTTGGCTTAATAAACATTGTACTGTGCTGCTTGCTCCCTGCTTCCCACCAGCCTTTGTGCTCCTGGGACAGCCAGGAGTTGTGTTTTGAAATGACAAAACCTCTAGTGTTTTTCAACAATTTAATGCATTAGGTGTTGCACTGAGTGCATGCTCTGTGGTACTGCTATCAATCCCCCCAAGGTCTGAGCCCTCAAGACTTGAATCAAAATTTGCAATTAATTTTTTTTTTTTTTAGCTGTTAATCAGTAGTTACAGCTAAGCATAGCTCATTAAGCAATTGCTTGGCTAATTCTTTATTTTATGAAATAGGGAAGTGACTCCCAAGATGAATGGGCTGTCTGCATGAGAGCCACCAGAAATGAAATGAACAGAACTGAGCAGTAACTGGGGAAATGGGAGATTGGTAGTGGGAGACTGACCACCTACTAAAAATGGGCCCCTGACTCAAGTGCAGAAAAGAATTGCATGTGAGGACTAATTAACATTAGAAGCAAGAGATACAATAAGCAAACGGGTTTGAGTATTAGCTAATGAAAAATATATGTAATCTGTAACCAGTGAATGCTGATGCTTCTGTTTTTTGAGATGTATAAATAGTGTAAAGTTTTGATGAGTTAGTGTAAAGTTTTATGGGTTACCAACTGTCTCCCTCCTTTGTGTTAACTAGAGTAAGAAGTAGAAATACATTGGTGTGTATTGATGCTTAGCACTGGGTAATGAGCCTGTATTCAAACTAGTTAGATTGGTAAGGAGCCATTGGTAGAATTTGTCAGAAATCCCTATCCTCTCTTCTGCCTGGTTCCTACCTCATGGCGTTTGTTAATCCTCAAGAAAATAGGAATTATCACCACTTTTCCAGAGTTTTTGAGAAGTGGATGTACAAATACACTTGACTCAAAATGCTTAAGTGCTGTGGATTGTAGGAGACAAAAGGAGTCTTACAGAATAAAGGGGCTTTGTTTACTTCTGTTCAGTTCTGTTCACAAAAAAACACTTTGGAAAATGTACAGCGGACATGAGGACTGAAAACAAGTTATTTAACTTGGGCATGGACACTGCATGATCAGAGTGCTGACTGGTCAAGGAGATGCATGGGCAGCAACATAGGAGGTGGCATGCTGCCAGTGTGTGCTTGTTTTAGTTCACAAGAATGCTATCAAGTATAATTTTAGCCAGAATATTTTTAGCACAGTATTACCTAGTTGTACAGTATATAAGACCTTGCTTGATGGCAATGAACTTGATTCTCTTTGGAAGAAGCTAGAGTGCCCTCATTCACGACAATGGGTTGATTACTATTACATAATGTTTTTTCCTGCTTATCATCAGCAGGATTTTCCCAACAGAGTTGATTTCTCCATATGCATAGAGGGAATGAGATGACATCAGGTTGGTGTCCAGTCACTAGTGGGGTTACAGGGGTCTACCACCCTGTGCTCTTTAACAACTTCTAACAACCTGCATGCAGGACTTGGAGGTAAATTTGCTGATGACATTAAATTGCAAGGAGCTGTCAACTTCATCATGGGCAGAGAGGCCCTGCAGAGAGAACTTGACAAATTAGAGGGCTGGTCAATCACCAAACAGATCAAGTGCTGGAGAGTGGATTTTTCATTCCCTTTGCTCACTATCCAACCCTTCTTACAATCTACTGCAATACTCTTCAAATGACATCTTGAAAAAGGGAAAGAAGTGCCATTTGATGAGTCTTAGGAGGTTGACTCAGATTCATTGTTGAGGGCTCTAAACAGCCTGGTCTCAATGTTCCTGCTGATGGTTGAGAGGTTGGACTTTATAGCCTTCAAAAGTACTTTCAATACAAACTATTCTATGATTTTTTGATTAATGTGTTTGTCCACCTCTAGAGGAGATCAGGTTTGTGTTTACTGGTGTCCCGGTACTGGAATGGAATTTTCTGGTTTAGACATGTTATTTGGTTAAATCACTCCACACGGGACTATTAAATATAACCCAAAGGGAAGCTCCTGAAGCACATGTAACGATGATAGAATAGAACATATTTTTATGTCTCTTTATGTTCTTCAAGTGTTTTGCATTCTTGTTATGTGTTTGTTGACTTCGTGAAGCTGTAAAGACTCTTACTGGCATTTTGACCAGAGAGTTAATGTTTCTACAGAAAGCAATTTTCTGCAATTTTAGGGGCAAATCTGAAAGAACCAGGACATCTGAGTAACCTCAGATTTGGGTTCATGTTCCCACTTTTGCACAGTTAAGTTATTTTTTTCAGAGAAATCTTAGGTCTGAAAAAAATCCCAGGTCTGAAATCTGCCCCAAATTAAGAAAAAATATGTGTCTTGATCTGTCTGTGTTTCATTTCTCTGAATTACAATAGAGCAAAATCCATTAAAGAGATGTGAGTCAAGAAAACCTCAGGGACACTGTAAAGTTTAGTTAATTGTAAAGCAAAGAACCTCTTACTTATGCGCTAAAGCCACACCACTATACAGGAAATCACATTAAAATGAACTTAAATTTAAGCTCATGAATTTATCTCACTAAACATGTGCTAAACAGGCTTCCTGGAGACAAAGGCTTTTTTGAACAGAAGCTGTAATTAACGTGTTGCAATTCTGGAATAAAAACTGCAACAGACACAAAAATCAGTTGTCATCATAATGCCATACTCAATTCATTGAAGTAATCCTATTTTGTATTATTCTAACTTCAATATTTTGCTTTTAAACAAAAATTACAAATGGTCAAATTTAAATATGAATCAGCTTTTAAATTGTAATTATATTTCATGAAATATGTGTTCTAACTAAAACAAAATAATTGCAAATATGTTTCCAGACTGTGTGGAAATTCAAATAACTTCCCCAAAGGATGTCCTTAGTAGCTACACAAGTAATTTTGCTTATATATTTTAATAGTTGTAAGAACAAAACTGCAATCCTAAATGCCATACTGTTCTCAAATCTTTTACAGTAAGCAAAGGACAGGAAAAAAGTCTTGTATATATATTTCAATGATCATTTAAATTCTAATTTTAGCTTGACTCTGTAAATTAATAGCTCCTATATAATTTATTTTATTTATGTGATATCTTTTTCCTTTTGAGCTTTTAATTACCCCTTTTTTTGTATGGGCTTAAATTCCTTAGGTAAACAGCAAGTATTAAGAATGTTTGTGATTTGTAGTATCTATAGGTTTTGGTGATGCTTTTTCTGGATTTACATCAGTGAGTAAGGCCTGACCTTATTCCTGTGAATATGAAAAATTTTGATGCGATACCTTCAAGCAGTAGATAAACAAAATATCAGTTCAGCACTTTGCTGGCAGGATCTCCATGTGCTTTGAGGAAAGAGTATGGAAAACATATGCTCACCTCATTTAGCTTGGCTGAATTTGCTGAAAGATTTTTTTTTGTGTTTGTTTCCTCCTTCAAAAGAAAGAATTTCCCCATTTCTCTACAAATAATGTAAAGGAGGAATGATTAAAACAAAAAGTGGGCCTTGCAAATTATATAATCACAGGGAATCTGCCTGGTACTGCCTGTTCATAGTCTTGATTGGCTTAACCTCTTCTAAAAATATTATCAACTTATACCATTATTGTATCCAATGCAGAACAACAAGACACATCGAAGAAGAGTTCAAAACACAAGATAAAGGCAGCCGATTGCAAAAGTAAAAAAGAAGGGGAAGATAATTTAAAATTTCACTGTGATGATAATATCATATATGACCCCAGAGGTAGCTTGTATTGCACCAGAGTCTGTACAAACTTTTCAGAAGAATTTTCCAACACTGTTTAAAAATGTTGCAGTTTCACAATAGATTGGGGTTTGCTAGTAAAGAGAAATGTGCACCATACTTAATCAATTTTTCCAAAATTTTCTGAAACCTCCATGTATTAGGAAGAGTTTCCACTTCCTGTGTCCCCTAAACCTGTGTAATTTACACAGTTGAACACAGAATTGAAGGATCTGTGAAGTGAATTTTTTTGGTCTTGTGTATACACAATGGTAAAATGATGTTTTAACTTTGTTGAAATATTTTAATTTATACAGTACTGTGTGAGCAGATACATAAAAAGAAATGTTTCCACAGAAAGAAAGCATGAACTCACATTCTTTCTCTTTTACAACTATTTCATCTTTTGAAATGCAATTTTCAGCAATTCCTCTTTTGTGTAAACTCAGTTTTGATCTTATCACGCATTTGTGGTCTCCTGGGTATTCTGTACTTCCCAAGATTTAATTAAGATATTTTTCTAAAGTTATACCACAATATTTAATTTCTTTTTCAAGACTGAAAACAGTAGAGGCCTATTAGAAGTTGGGCTATATCACGTAGTTATATCATGCAGAGACTGGATAACCTATCTTCAATCCCAAACTGTGGCACCTTATTTAATCAAGAATGTAATCTACTATTTGCTCATAACTCCTTGTATTCTTTTATTTAGGTATGCAGTGAAGGTACTTGTGGACTGAGATGTGGATTCATGTGAGTAAAAATGCCAATACTATTTCCATTGCAATAGTACTTTGAAACAGAATATCCTTTGCTGACAGGGTTTCCTTTTATAGAGGTATTCCATGCTTCTTGGACTCAAACTCATTTTTTGTTCTGACCGCTGTGAGATATGGAAATCCACTTGTGTCACAAAGCAAGAAAATGTTTTTGTTTTATTCAAGAAATCTTTTCAACAATGAAGTGTCAACAGATATGTTTATTCTTTTAATGATAGATTTCTCCTTTGCCTCAGTATCTCTGCTCATTGAGTTTAAAATGTAAAGCTGTTTATTATTATTATGCAAGTCATGGGATTCTTTAGAATTTAAAAGAAGGGAAACATATCAAATAGCAAAGCAACTCTTCCCAGTGCTTATCTGGCAGACTAGAGAACCATGACATTCCACTTGAATCAACTGCTTAAATGAGTAGTTTAATGACAGTTATTGTGTAAGATTTGCTCATGTAGCAACTTGAGTAGTTACACAAAGAATAGAAGCTTGATGAAACAGAGTTAAGAAATACATGCCAAGCCATCTTGTTTCCACATTCTTTTACATTAGTAGATGTACTCTTTTTCCATAAATGGAGAAGTTTCTATCTCTTAATAAGAAAGAAGTTTAAAAGCGTTCCTTTAAATTCTAATTAAGTTAGTGTATCTCTAGGAAAAATCTGGAGCCTTCTTCCCATTGAACATGTTACAAAAATGTACTTTTCCCTGGCATGCAAGTTTCTATTTATGGGCAAGCAGAACCCATAAAATGATCCAAGAAATGTGTTTGTACTTACTGAAGGATACTTAGTAGTGGGGCTTTCACAGTCACAAGTTTCAATATGGGATAGGATTCATCTTATCAACAAGGTCAGCAATTTATGTGCTTACATCTAATGGGCATAAATCATCTGACTTGCTTTATGTGCATCTCACTTTAGGGTGAGATGTGTAGTCCATTGTAATGTTGCTGCCTAAAATCAAAAGACAAAACTTTTAACAGTGTTTAAGTGGTAAAATAAAAAGCAACTCTTTAATGAAAGATTTCATATGCAAAAATACGGCTCTGAGCACATGTGATAAAGGATTTCTACAATTTTTATAAAGTTAAATAATTACTATATCTAGCAGGTCCATCCAGTAGGAGATCAGTTGTCCTGGTAACCCACCCTTGGGCCAACCCCTTGGAGTTGGTCCAAGGGCTTCTTTGCCCCATTTCTTTTTATGTCTCTTAAGTTCTGGTGGAAAACAAAATGTCCTTGTCAGCAAGTCTCTTCTTAAGTATAAAAATAAACAGAATTTCAAGAATACGCTACTAAGGGTTAGCTTCCTGTGAGAAAGGGCACGAAAAGTCCTAGAAGCTATGGAATTGTATATAAAAAACTACAAGGCTACAAATATATGAAAAATATATAAAAAAATTAAAAAATCTTTAGCCATCAATACCACTCCTTTGCATGGTGTATGATGAGATTCTAGTGAAAGCATCTCAGACATAGACTTTTTTCAATATAGTTGTTTATCTTTGTTCTGTCAAATCTTCCCATGTGGGCCCTGTTAATTGGGAAAAACATTCTATGAATTTCAAACACTGTTGTCTAAAAGTTTCCTATGGACATAATTTTCAGCTATACATTTACAGAGCTTGCGTGTTTGTAGGAATTTGGTCCTTGTTAAGGGCATCATTTTTTCCAATCCATATGTTTTTTTGAAATCATTATTACTTGAGGGCAGAAGAAAAGATTAAACACCAAGTGACTCCTGTAAAAAATCTTTCCCCTCTGTTTTGTCCCAAAGAATGATTCTGGACGATTCAATCTGTAGAATTGCATTCCTTTATCTAAAGATTTGGGTGGAGTCTTTCTACTCTTATGGAGGGTGACAGTATGTGAGTAGCCCTGCATTCACTTTATGTATGTGTTCTGATAAATTTGCCAGAAAAATGCTTGGATAATTATGTAAAATAGAGACAGAATTTATGGCATGTGATCTGTACATAACTTTAGACTGTAGAATGTGAGTTGTGTGCAATGAAGTGCTTAGAAACCAATATTTATATCTTGTATTATAAACCAAGAATTATATACTAGCATTTTTCAGTGATAATTTAAAATCTGAAATAAATTTAATGATGAGTATGGCATATTCATGGGCAACTGAAGAATTAAATTGAACAAATTGCTTTCCATAAAGTGTTTCCCTACTCCAGCTATAAACAACACAGATATGGAAATATCTTCTTCAGAATACAAATAGACATTTACATTAAAATTAACAGTGTAATCAGAAAGAGAGTGCAGGCCACATGGTAAATTATTCTTAATGTTAAATATCTATGTTTGTACAGGTCTTGGCTTTTATAGGCAGCACCATTGGAATACAGAATATTTAATTTCTGGGGAGCATACTATATACTATGCACATATGGGTGGGAAGGGACTCTGAAAAACCTGTTGTAATGGAGGGTTCCCCGTCCATGGCAGGGTGTTGGAACTGGATGATCTTCAAGGTCCCTTCCAACCCAAGACTTTCCATGATTTTCTCATATTTGATTGCAACAAAGTTGATAATTAGATATATATACAGAATGAAACATAGCCACTCTATTACTGGGTTGCTACCAGTTGGGTCTACTACCACAGGGTTGCTTGTTTGCCTTGTGATATCTATATATTCTGGTAAGGTCTGACAGTTCAATATCTAGCATTTATTTGCCTTTTTTTCCATGCTTTGTGGGTGTTCTGTTTGTCAATAAATGGTTGGGCTTTTTTCACTTTCATCCACTAGAATTCATTTTTTATCCATGAAAAGGAATTCTTGGAATTCTTTTAAAGGAAATACTCAGTCCAGAGTGATTTCCCCTAGACTTGTGTCCAAACTGAGACACGTACCCTTGAGGATTTTCTACATGTGGTGCTTTCCAAACATTTTATTGAAAGAACAGGACACAATGGCATAATAAATTAACCAGTGTGCTGTACATAACCCACATTGAAAGGATTCTGTTGGCAAGGCAGTGTGACATGAAACTGGGAGAGGTCCTATCAGTCATACCTGAAAGGGGACACACACTCCAGGCCTGCCATGGCTCCAGCACGTGGGATAATAAATCCAGGTCTGGACAAGGCCACATTCTTATCCTCCCACCACAGAAAATCTGATATGAATGATGAACACAAATAAAGGATCTCTAGCTTCCAGGAGGTGTTGTGCTCAAAGGTTTTTCCTCTTCAAATTCTGGCTCAGACATCAAAGTTTTTGGACATCAGGTTATTTTGAGATTGTTTTTGTGTAGGAACTAGCACCTATGATTTTCTTTTAAATATACTCAAATTTTTAGAACAGAGCTCTCCCACTATGAAATTCTAAAGAAACCCAAATGCAAGGATTGAATTTAGGCACATTTTGACAGACTTTCATAACCATGATGTGCAATTTGCCATAGGTCTGAAACTATGCTTCCATCTAAGTAAAATTTTAATTTGTAAGGTATAAATGTCCAGTGAAAGGAAGAAGAATTTATCCAGCTTGATTTGAAACATCAACAGTACTAGGTAACTGCTACTGTTTTGTTTTTCCATTTCCTTCAGTATGACAAACAATATGCAGTTTTAGTGACTATGTTTATTTTTTTTCTTTCCTTTGAGAAAAGTGAAATATGGCTTCTTTGGATGTGGATTGCTCTTATGTTACTGAATAGAATTGGGTGTTTGGGGTATAGGGAATCCACCATGTGACTTATGTTATGATATTTTATGGTGTCCTCTGCTGTGGTTTGAACAACAGCCTAATAAATCACAGTAATATCTAGACAGAACAAAGTAGTCTCAAAAGACAATTCAATAGATAAAAGTAAAAATAAATATATGCTGGTTTAGGCTAAAGCTCTTTTAAGTCTTTTTACTAAAATGATTACCTAATTCAAGACATTTCTACTAGTAAAAAAATATGAAAAATCAAGTGATGTGAACAGAACAGTATATTCTAAAAGTAATTGTGTTGTCTGACAAAAATCTGTTTAAAACATTTTGAAATATAAAAGGACCATCTAAGGATATTCTCTGATGGCTTCAGTAGTGCCTGATCTCTTCAAACTTATAGTGATTTGGAGAAATTGAGAAGCTGAATCCATAGGATTTTTTTTTCTGGAAAAGGAGCAAGAAAGATAGAACAATTGAAGTTCATCAATGTTACAAGATAGTTTTGTTTTCTGGATTCTGCTAGAGTTTAAAAGGAGTCTCTGAGCATCAATATCCTGAAGAGATTTGACAGCTTAGAATGCAGTAAGCTAAGTTTGTTGTAAAAATTATTTCTTTTGGCAGTAACACTGATCTATGAATTTTAATGGTTCAACTTAGCATACATTAGAATTCTGTGGAAGGCATTCACAAGGAATTCTGTAGGTGCTCCTCTTTACCTGTCAATCCATGAAACACAATTTTGTTTCAAGGGAGGAAAAACATTACAAATAATCCCCTTTTACTTGTCTATGAATCACTTGACTCGGGGTTGACTTTCAGCTATATAATATTCCTTCTGACCTGTTGGGAGCTGACACACTTTTCCATGGGAGTCCCAGAGCTGGCATTTGCAATCAATAGCCTTGGTATGTGTTGCTGTTATGTCTCCTTGAGTGGACACAAGAGAACAAGCACTGGCTGCCAAACACCTGTGATCTCTATATTCACACCAAAGGAGCTTCTGCTGATAACGTATGCAAGGGCTATGGTATTGACTTCTCTTTTAAGCTTTTAATAGAAAAGAGCCAGGAATAAAACTGAAGTTCTGGGTATGCTCCAAAAAATATGATAATCTTAGTTCTTCCCAAGGACAACCAATGAGTGGAACACCAAGCAAGTGAGAGGTTCTCAAGAAGGCATTCTTGTGTGGCAGCTGGTTGTGGAATTGGCCAAAATGCCATTGTTGCTGGCAATGGTAATGCAGAGCTCTCTGCAGTCAGGATCCTGGGCAGACCTGAGGACCAGCTGCTACTTAAAAG